TTGACCCTCATGCCATTCCAAAGATGGCAGCACCCACAGCCAATAAGGCGGGAATATGCTAATTAACTGCCCTGCCCTCAAAGGTGGCAGTGTCCACAGCCACAAGATGGTGGCACCCAGTCCCCTCCCGCATGGCTGCCTCTGGAGTCCCTCAGTGCCCTCAGCCCCCCAGCCACCCAGGGCTGGCCCCGGGGGCAGGCAAGCCTCAACGGCAGCAGCCCAGCCTCCCAGGGCCCCCCCGAGGCTCAAGTAACCAGGGCTGGCCAAAGCTTGCGCTGTTGACAGTGGCAGCAGCAGAGATATGATGGGAGCATCCCCTTCCCCTGATTGCCAGGTCACCTCCCACCTTTGAGGGCTCCTGGACTGTGAGAGGGGGCAGGCTGGGCTGAAGGACCCCCCCTCCAGTGTATGAATTTTCATGCACCGGGCCTCTAGTTATGTATAATTATGCACATTTGTACTTCAACATTTTCTTTGCTTTCATGCTGATTTTCTTATTTGGCTATCATAATAATCTCTGTAAAACAGAGAGATAGTGTGATCCTATGTAAGAGAATCCACCTCTTGCCTCTTCCAACTTCTGGTGGCTGACGGCATTCCTTGCCCAGTGATATGGCTCCAATCTCTGCTTCTTTGGACATGCTGGCACTCCACTTCTGTCAGTGTAATCTCACACTGAGTCTCTCTCATTAGTTATTGCATTTAGTGTCTGTCTCCCATCTCATGTTACACAACGGCAAACCCCGTTTTCCGTATAGGTAACACTGGCACATTCCAGGGATTAGGATTTGCCCTCTTTGGGGTCATTAGTCATTATAAGATATTTGGAGCTGGAAGCTACCTAAATGTTCCACAAGAAGAGATTGTTTTTAAGAAAACGTTATAAATCCATAGATTGAAATTCTATGCTGCTAATAAAATGTATTGTACAGAAAAACATAGGATACTATTATTTTTTTACATATATTTTATTGATTTTTTACAGAGAGGAAGGGAGGGGGATAGAAAGTTATAAACATCAATCAGCTCCTACTGGGTACATGCCCTTGACCAGAATCGAACCCAGGACTCCTCAGTTCGCAGGCCGATGCTCTATCCACTGAGCCAAACCAGTTAGACTAGGATATTATTAAGAGATCAAAATCATATATATGGTTCCATTTTTATAAAAAGGCATATAAAAAACACTGTGTATCTGTTTCCCTGGAGAAATACTGAAAGGATATATTTTTTTTAAATGTTCATACAAGGAAGCAAAATTATTTATTAAATCAATTTCTCCTTTGTCTAGAATATTGTCTGTATTTTTCATGTATTAATCGTGAATATTTGTTTATATTATTTAAAATATAAATTATTTTGCATTTAGAAAATAGTCTACTTTGAGAGGAGGCTTGTTAGGGGAAATGGCATTTGAAGCAATCTTTTAAATAGCTAAGCTTTTGACCAATAGAGGTAGGGAAAGGTAGCAAGGTGAACAGATGCAAGGACAATCTGACAAATGATCTCTGGGATATGGTGGGCCTTGAAAAGTCATCTGAGTCCAATTTGGGGATCTTGAATGAAAGCATTGGGCCTTGTTATGCTCCATAATATCTGGCTAATTTATATATTTTTAAATCACAGATTTATTTGTATAAATGATTTAGCATATATTAGATATGATTTTTAATGCATTTGTGTGAGCATTTTTCATACTAAAGAACAATTTTTATAATGGTGTAACTACTTTGAATTATCATGGTATAGTCATACTTAACCTAACAGCATTGGCATAATTCAATTTTTATTAGCTAATGAAATTTTCATTTTTTTTTTTTCAATTTCAGTGATTTGCAAGGAGTAAGAACACATGCTAAAAAGGATGGAAGTGACTGGGTTCTTAACGGCAGCAAGGTGTGTACACAGGGGCTTCTGTGGCCCTTCTTTCTAGAGTGATGCCATGGTGACAGTGTCTCAAAGACTATTGATTATTGATTATATCTAGGGAGGCTCACGCAGAAACTGAGATTTGAGTTCACCCAGGAATTGAGTTGTGTTTTGGAAACAAAATTTTGCAACATTTATGTTAGATAAGATCTGTTCCATTTCTGTGTTTCATTTTGCACACCCCCTCACTCAAATAGAAAATATTGTTTTTGCCAAAACCAGTTTAGCTCAGTGGATAGAGCGTCGGCCTGTGGACTGGAAGGTCCCGGGTTCGATTCTGGTCAAGGGCATGTACCTTGGTTGCGGGCACATCCCCAGTAGGGGATGTGTAAGAGGCAGCTGATCGATGATTCTCTCTCATTGATGTTTCTAACTCTATCCCTCTCTATTCCTCTCTGTTAAAAATCAATAAAATATATATATATATTTTAAAAATATTGTTTTTTATTCCAAACAACCTCATCAAACCAGAAAAGGAGAAGGTAAGGCTCACATTGTCAAAATATGGGACTAATGATAGCAAAGAATTGAAGATAATTCTTCGTATTATCAGGAAGAGTTTCAAAAGATCTTAGGAGAAAAAGATACCATTGATCAAATTTGAGAGCCCTTCAATCCTTCTGGGAGCCCATCAACCCACGATAAAACTGAAAAGCTTCTCTAAGTAAGGTTACACACAGGCTCCAAGTAAACACTGTGTATTCCTTAGACTCTAATGTCACTGATGGCAGAGGATTTGTTTACAAACAAATTTGTATACACTCTGTAAATATTTGTTGTTGACTGAGTATTAAGAAAAGATGTTCATTTTCTGTAAGGCCTGCACTATTTTTCTTCTACTATTTAATAACCTTACATTTAACTAATTAATGCTTCAGATAGAATATAGAGTTATAAAGCATGGGTAGAATATAGAGTTATAAAGCATGGATAGGACATAGTTATAAAGCATGGATAGAATATAGAATTATAAAGCATGGGTAGAATATAGAGTTTATAAAGCATGGATAGAACATAAGACTTTTAAAGCATGGATAGAATATAGAGTTTATAAAGCATGGATAGAATATAGAGTTATAAAACATGGGTAGAATATACAGTTATATAAAGCATGAACAGAATATAGAGTTATATAAGGCATGGATAGAATATAGAGTTATAAAGCATGGATAGAATATAGAGTTATAAAGCATGGATAGAATATAGTTATAAAGCATGGATAAAGTATAGAGTTATAAAGCATGGATAGAGTATAGAGTTATGAAGCATGGGTAGAGTATAGAGTTATATAAAACATGGGTAGAATATAGTTATATAAGCATGGGAAATATAGAGTTATAAAGAATGGAGAATATAGAGTTATAAAAGCATGGATATAACAGAGTTATAAAGCATGGATAGAATATACAGTTATAAAGCATGGAGAATATAGAGTTATAAAAGCATGGATAGAACATAGAGTTATAAAGCACGGATAGAACATAGAGTTATAAAGCATGGATAGAATATAGAGAGTTATAAAGCATGGCTAGAATATAGAGCTATAAAGCATGGAGAATATAGAATTATAACGCATGCCTTGTCTGGTTTAGTCTCCATGCATATGCTTTCCCCTAATGGTGACTTGCATGTGGACGTGGACGTGGTGAGCGGAACATCACAGGTGTCTGGGTTTTCCAGGTGTTCATTACCAACGGGTGGCTGTGTGACGTGGTGATAGTGGTGGCCGTCACAAACCGCGAGGCTCGCTCCCCGGCCCACGGCATCAGCCTTTTCCTGGTGGAGGATGGAATGAAAGGATTTATCAAGGGACGGAAGCTACATAAGATGGGAATGAAAGCCCAGGTAAGTCATACTGTGAATCATATGTAGGTAAAAATTGAGATTACTCAATTTTCATTAATAAATTATTATTTATAAATAATTGAACTTATTCGATTATGCCTTATATAGAGAACTGCCTAAAACACAATCATACCTTCCAATGCTGAATTCCTAAAGCACGCTTTTCATAAAAGATAATGGAGATTCATTCCACCGTTCATGGAGCTTTACCTCCTCCTAGTGGTCAGCAATAAAAGTGAATCGGGATATTTTAAATATCTGCTTTAGAAATGGCAAAATTAACTAAATGATAATAGGCCCCTTTATGAAATTGATTAAAGAAAAGAATGAACTAAGAACAGAAAAAAATTCTATTCTTTGTTAATTACTTGGTAATTTTTTGTTGTTGTTGCTGAAAAGAAAAACATTTTATTTAATGTGCATTAGAAACCCTTAGTCCTCAGTCCCCACAGATCTGGCCAGCACTGGGGCTAGAATGATGGTGTGCTGTAGTGGAAAAGCCAGAAGTTTGGAATCAGTTGAACCTGGGTTGCATCGCTGGGTTACCACTTACTAATTGCGTGCATTAACCACCCCAACTTGGCTCCCAGTTAATTTGTTGTTTTTGTTTGTTTGTTTGTTTGTTTGTTTAATGGAAATAACCTCACCAGGTTGTTGTGAGATTTAAATGAAATAATTCTGTACTTAGTTGTATGATCTCTTAGGACACTGCAGAATTATTCTTTGAAGACGTACGGTTGCCAGCTACTGCCCTGCTTGGAGAAGAGAATAAAGGCTTCTATTACCTCATGCAAGAGCTTCCACAGGTGAGAAGTGTTAAATAGGACAGAACGCTATAGAACTATATAAATCCATGTGTATAAAACTTGTGATATAGCCGATCATTCGACTGTACCTTAACGTAAAAAGAAAACATGAATTGTGTAGGCTACATGAGTAAATACCTGAACTTGGGGATATTCATTCAAAGCTTATACGTGAATAGGGAAAGTAGATATTTCAGTTCTTTGATTTCTTCTTGGAATGATTTTAGCTTCTGAATCACAGGTCAAGAATTTGTATCTCTCCGTTGAAGGAATATAGAGTCTGGGCACAGTAGAAAACAGGACTAGTGAATTAATGACAAATCAATAGGCAAACTTTTAAACTGAAGCAGAGAGTGGAATAAAATGGAAGAACAGAATAGGGTAAAAGATTTAAAAAAAAAAAAAAAGACATTTTATCTCAACCAAGGTGATTCCCTCTCCAGGATAGGAGCAACGTGGAATAAATCTGCATGCCTCAGGTTTTCAGAGGTGATACATAGTTTCCATTGCCTTTCCTTGGCTGCCTGCATGTATACTTCAATCTCACTTCCCTTCTGGGTAGATTATGCCCTCTTCTCAGCACATGTTGAAGGAGGGGGGGAAAAAGAATTTATATCTCTTTGCAAAGAAATATCAGCCAAAACATTGGCAGTTTTGGGTTGTTTTTTGTTTGACTGTTTTTTTTAATAATGCCTGAGAATCGAAAGGGGAAATGTTAAGTTCAGACCAAATAGTTTTAGCCATGTAGGCTCAGGCCTCACTCTGTGTTTTCGGAGTGTGGTTGCTGAGTGATCATTGAGCCCTGCTTCAGAGGCTGCACCTGCCTAGTAACTGGCACAGCATGGGGTAAACATGAAACTGAGTACCAGGGCTAGGAACACTGGCACAGAAGTGGAATATGAAAATCCCAGCAAGATGGAATTCAACTGACTGTGGACACTTTTACACTAACAGGCAGAATTTAACCTATGCGCTTTAAAGGTTATTTTCCACGGATATTGCAGGACATGTGCTGTTCAGAGATCAGTAGATGAAAATCACCAACTTCAGAATTTCTTTTCTCATAGATGCATAGAAAGAAGAGGGGGGTTAATAAATGACATAAATACTTATATATAGTAAAGAGAATCTATCATAAAAGTAAAGGGTTTGCTTTAGGGAGCTATTACAGTTATGTCAAAATACTCTTATAAAGAAGTTAAGAACTAAGTTGATTGGAGTTTTATAAAGATTATTGATGAGATTTATTATCATTGGAATCATGTCAAAATCACTTGTCTAAGACCTACTTTCTGGGTTACAGGAAAGGCTTCTGATTGCCGAGTTAGGCGTTTCAGCCAGTGAATTCATGTTTGAGGAAACCAGGGACTACGTGAAACAAAGAAAAGCTTTTGGGAAAACAGTAGCTCATATACAGGTAAGCTTGTTGTCATGGTTCAGGGTTAGGTAATATCAATTTACTCTTCTGAAATGGGTCTAAGAAACTCAACATAAATATGGAGAGATTTTCATCCAAGTGCTATTAGAATCCATGGAAGTGGATAAGATCATTGAGGGAGAGAGAGTAGACAGTAAGACAAGAAGACATCCTAGGACAGAAATCTGAGAAAAACGTTACAGAACTTAAAGGCGAAATAGGAAGGGAAGAGCCTACAAAGGCAACTGAAAATGATCGCCTAAAAAGGAGACAGCTCATAAGGCAAGCATCACAGAAGCCGAGAGAAAGACCTTCAAGTAGGAGGAAGTAGGGCCCAGCTACTTGGAGGGAAAATAGGCGTTAAGGTCAAAGAGTGCCCACTGGACATGCTAGGGAGGTTATTTTGTAAGAGCCGTTAATGGGCTCCTGTGGAGGGGGTGCCAGAGGGGTAAATGGAAATGAGGAAGTAAAGGTATTGATGGCAGGCAACTCTTTCCTGAGTTTGGCTGTGAATATTAATTGGAGAGAAAGGGTGGGGAAGGAATAGAGGGAGATATATTGGGGGTCAAATGAGATATCTGGAGATTATTAGTTGTTTTTATTATTATTAGGATGAAAATGCTGAAGCATATTTTAAGAACTAGAGAAAGGATTTAGTAAGAGGCATCGATTGTAGGTATGGACCAGATAATTAACTGCACAGGATCTGTGAGAAGGTATAAAGATAAGGGTGCTAAAGCTCATGGAAAGATGGGCCTTCCCACCCCAACAGGAGAGTTCTTCCTCCACCATAACAGGAAGAGCAGCGGAAAGGATGGGCATGGATGGGTTCAGCTCTACTGGTAGAAAATTACAAAAGCTCTCTTCTGAAGACTTACATTTCTTTACATGCCAATAAGGGGGAAAGATGTGAATTAATGGGGGATGCCAGTGTTGGAGGAGAGTAAAGAAAGTTTGAAATACCCTCTTCAGAGTAAAAATAGAACTAGCTAGAGAAATATGTGAGCCTGCTAGCAGGGTTGAGGGCCCATTTAAGTTACTGATCATGAATTTATAGGGGTACTTTCTGATTTCTTGTGTATCAGCCTCTGTAGAAGGTTTTAGCAGCTTAGGTTCAAGCACAGAGAAAGTGGATGCTGGTGTTTAATAAGTGTGGGCTTTGCCAGGATTTTAAGATATTTTCAAAAGAACTCAGTATATGGTGGCCATAATCACCAAATATTCCAAACAAACTTTAGACCCTCTAGTGTCACCTTAAGTGAAGAAACAGTTTATTAACAATGCAGTTGTCCAATTGTTGAAACATTTTACCAACAAAAAGAAAACACCTGGATTTGGAAATCTACTTGAAAAGTCTTAAGTAGAATTGTAACCAAATGCAGGTATGGTTACAATTTCTGTATTTATGGAATTCATATTAAATCACAACAAAGATCACTACAATATTACCCAGATTGTATAACTAAGAATGTTAAATATGTTTTGACATTTCCTGGATTTTAAATGTGAAGGAAATATTTGTTAATATATATGTAATGTATATCTAAAATAACATAAAAAAAAGAAATAGTTTTAATTCTTTTCAAAGCAGGTAACATTTTTTGGTTGCCTTTTTGCAAAGATAATTCAAAGGTAATTTCAAAAGCAGCATTTTGCTTCCACCACTATATTATTGACAAGTAATATTTTCCAAGTAAATGTATGTTTTGAGAATTCTGAGATATTTCTTTTAATTTTTGTTTTATCTAAATAAGTATATTTGAATAATATTTTTATATTGAATCTAGAAATTTAATCTATTCAGAGAAGATGAATGATCGATACATGCCTACACAGCCTATTCTAGTGCTGGGTACATTATGGTTCTGGTTATTAAATTGAAATAGAAGACCTTTAAATGCCATGTTATACTTAGCCAAATGTCATTTTATGAGCACATAACAATTCTGTTTTCTTTCTCTTTTATCCTTGAATTTTGAACATGTTAGTCCTTTCTGACCATTTGGATGCATTTCACAAAAACTTGTTTTCTTTTTAAGAGGGAGACCTACCATATTTAGTCTTATCCAGAAGTTCAGTTAGTTGGAGTTTTATTATGAGACACCAGGGTTGAGGATTTTATCCCTGGTCAAGGCACATACAAGAATCAACCAATGAATATGTAAATACTAATAAATGAAACAACAAATTGATATCTCTCTCTGTCTCTCTCTCAAATCAATCAATAATTTTTTTATAAGATGGAGAACTACCATACTTAGGCAGTTATAGGATTTCCATTTTATTCATACTTTCCATATTTGATGTTAAGTCTTATAATTTTTCATGAAATAGACAATAAAACAGTACAATTATGATATTAAATAATTTCAATGACTGTCATTTATCATTATTTTGTATTGTGCCTGTGTGCCAGACATTGCTAAGTGGATTGTCTCATGTTTTTTTCACAGCAACTGTGCATAATAACTGTTACATTTATCCTTAATTTACAGATAAGGAAATTGAGGCATAGAGAGGTTAAGTAACTTGCCCAAGATTACCCAGATATTCTAATTCCGGAACCTACACTCTTAATTCAGGCACTAGTCTTACTACCTGGAAATTTAAGGTAGATAGACTTTATTCTTTTTCCTTCCCTTCATACATGTTCAGCCATGCTCAATGAAGTGAAAATTCAGCATTCTTTCTTAACACAAGCTTTAGTTGTTTCCTAGGTGACATGTGCTCTTGATTCTAAGGACACAAAGTATTAGAAAAAGAAATAGGAGAAGAAAACAACACTTCTTTCTCACATTCCTCCAAAAAATGAATATCCAGTTCTTAAGACCTTGATTAATTAATTACAATATTAGAGAGCAAACCTGAGGTGTTGTATTTTATATTTCAGGCATAACATATGAGAGTTCAACTAATGGTGTTGTTTAAGTGGAATATGGAGGCTAGATAACTTTCCAAGGTGTCTTCCATTTCCACAACTCTATGATTCTAAGATATTTTTTTTTTTACTCAGAAGTCTGAAAGAGACTCTATCTGGTCTACTTAGTAACTTAAGGGGAAAAAATTATTTTTATTTTTTATTTTTATTTTTTAACTATATTTTATTGATTTTGTACAGAGAGGAAGGGAGAGAGATAGAGTTAGAAACATTGATGGGAGAGAGTCATCGATCAGCTGCCTCTTGCACACCCCCTACTGGGGATATGCCCGCAACCAAGGTACATGCCCTTGACCGGAATCGAACCCGGGACCTTTCAGTCTCCAAGCCTACGCTCTATCCATTGAGCCAAACCGGTTTCGGCAAGGAAAATTTTTTAATTCTAGCTGCAATATTATCTATTAGCAACTGTTAATGAATGTTACACAGTACTGCTATGAGCATGTTGATCATTCACAAAAAGTACCTTGCTAATAATGTGTGGTACAATGAGTAACTGCTATTCATTGGAGAATAACTTCTAAAAGTATGACACAGTGTCTGAAGAGCAAAGACCAACTCAGCATAGTAACACCCAACTCAATGCCAAGTCCATGTAAATATTTAACCTCTATATTTCCAGAGAGTAAATGATGTACCATTGGAGGCATTGATTTCCTCCGACCTCTGGACCTCACCGAATGCGCTGACACCAGAATTCTAAATGAGCCCATGCTGGTCTGAAATTTAACGTCGGCCTCTGGAAGCTCCCCGAATTCCCATTGGAACAGCTCTCATATGAGAGAATTGGCCTTGGAGTTTTTTATTCTCTCCTGTAGACAGTGCATAAATTCTCAAACGTGCCACTCGCTGGGGTGGGTAAGGCAAAAGTGTCTTGAGACTTGTCAGGCTCCTCCTTATTTTCCAAATGGGGTGTCACTGAACTGAGCTGGAAGTAGTCTCAGAACTGAGTTTCAGGATTTCCGTGAAGCGCATCCTCATCTGTTTTCAGTGCATAGAAGAGTGTTTCCCCACCTTTTTTCATTCCTTGCTTCACCTATAGATTTCCTATGAGTAGACGCAAACGTGTGGGGTGGGAGTGGAAAACTTTGTGCTGATGAAAGGGTAGGGAGTTGGCCTAATTAAGTGACTAGAAAGAGAGAAAAGGAGTGAAAAGAATGAGAAGAAGGCTCAGATG